TCTTGATTTAAGCTCAATTCATGTAGAAATCAACCCGAGCAGGCAAGCCCCCACAGGCAAGCCCCCACGCCTTGCATGGAAGAAAGGTTCTATCATAAACCTTCAGGTCTGGAGAATATTTACAGTACCCAAAGCTCAGAAAATGCTGAAACTCAGATATTCATCAGCACTTTCATACGCAGAAACTGAAGGAAAGAGGGATTTCCTTACTTATGGTCAAACTGGAAATCCAAATCAAAAGCGAAATATTGCTACCTGCTTTTTAGCATCTCACCACAGGAATTAAAAAGCCAACAGAAAACAATTTATACTTTGCACTATGATCTATACCTTTCAAAAGACCAAATATTTTATTTTTAATTTTCAAGACAGTATTGACAGTATTATCATATTCATAGACAGTACAGGATATTGTATCACAACCCCCAATATCATCTTTACAGCTTCTACTTTTACTGCTTGTGAATTCCAACACCTCTTATTCTGACCATATGCTATTAAAAGATTGAATTAATCATTCCATCACTTCTTGCTCAGAGTGCAGATGGAGAGATACAGCTGGGCAACCAACACATCGGAAAAGTCGATTCTTTAAATATTCTCTTACTATATTAGATTGGGGGGGGGAGGGAAGTGAGCAAGATCATTAAGAGTAGTTTAAACTGCATCTCCTCTCTTCCCAGAGACAGAGAATGTAATTTCCATACCCCAATCAAGCTTAAGAGCATCCAGCTGAAGGTCACATTCAGATCTGCCTCTTCCAGCCGACAAAATGCTCTGCTGCCACTTAAACAGTCCCCTTTGCTTCCCATGGCTTCAGTGTGACAGTATTTCCATCAAATGTAAATAAGTAAGCAGAAGTCACGAGTTGGTATACAGAACTTAAAAGGTAATTGAAAGTTTCTGGAGTACTTCACTTCAAAAAACTGTGCAATCACTTGTGAACTGAAGTGCTTGTTATCATATACAAAGCTCCAGTAATTAAAATCAGGAAGAGAGGTACAAGGTGATTAGAGATTATTGGGAAAAATCTAGTTAACAGGAAGCGTAGCACATAAACCAATCGGTACTTAAAGCTACCCTGAGATACCTGCAATTAATTAAAATATAAAATATTAAAAAGGACATTTCCATATTATTAAAATCTTCCAAAGCGACTAATGATCAGAAGCCATTACAGCATCGACATTAATGTGAGACAACCCTCAGGTGCTACTGGCTTAATAAAAAAGATGGAAAATAACCTCAACATCCCTTCCTCTCCCTCTCTGCCCTACTTCCACATCCTTCAAACCAGCCCCTGGCTAATACAGTTATTTCTTCGGCTAGCCGGCGCCTGGTGAAGAGTCCAGACAGCGGCAAAAGCTGTCTGCAGATCATCACTCATACGGGTGCCCATTTGGCCCCTCAGTGTATGCGCCCAAAGCAGTGGCTCCAAGGAAAGCAAGGCCCACCTTGCTTGTGCGGGACAAGAGCATGTCGACGAGGCAGACGCTCAGGGGGCTGCGCAGCCCCGGAGGGAGCTGCCCTGCGCGGGGCGATGCCTGAGCTTGATGCCCCGGCTGCCCGGGGCTCTGAGCTGCTCAGCCCCCCGCTGCCACATGCCACCTCCCAGGGCCACCACTCGGCCTCCAGAAGCACAAATTTGTGATGGAAGTTAGCTTTGTGGGGTTTTTAATTTTTTTTTTTTTTTTTTTAAGATGGGAGTTTCACTGAAGTCCCCTGAGCCTCTGAACGGAGCTGTTTTCTGTACGCAAAACTGCTTAAAAATCAATTCTAACTTGGAATGAGAAAGTACAAAGGGCATGCACATTTTGTCTTCAAGACAGCTTCAACATTTGTTTTCCAAAGATGGAATTTCATTCATTTTTCTTTTCTTTGATAACACGAGCAGGTCAGGGGTTTCAAATGGAGCGTGAAAGTGCAAGTACAGAAAGGTCTCGACTGTACTATATATAATTTTCTAATTCTCTCACGACAGTCCTTTTCTAGGAAGACTGATTTCTTTTCAGACTCCTCTTTCTTAACATGCTGAAGTGATCTCATACTCACACATTTTCTTTCAATTTTTATCTTTCTTGTTCCCTATAAAATAAGCACCAAAGTTTTCACAAGGAAGGTAGCTGCTTTGCAATAGAGGCAGCTAATTGTTTTGAAAGATTTTTTTTTTAATTATGTGTTTTTATTCCTCAGTGAAAAACTTATTTTTGAATGGAATTCTACAGGACATTAATCTAATGCAGATTCACGGGACTCAGGGAATTAGTTAACTTAAAAGAGCAGCTAGTGTGCATGCTCTATAATTGCTCTTCATCAAAATCGTCAAAGATTTTTAATATGCAGAGTTACCACACAGATTAAAAGCTCTCGAAGTATGTCGCTGTATAAGAGGCCATCATTCCACAGTGTCATTATCTGCTATTAATATTTCAATTAGAGAGTATCACATGCTCCTCTGAAGAAATGCAACTGCTCACAAAACGAGTCCCATTATTGATAATGCTCCGGCAGTATGACACAAACATCCTATTTTTGTTCCTACATTTAATTACCTCCTATAAATAGCTTTCCAAATTTTTAAGGGAAAAGCTCATTTCATACAGAAATGCGTATCTTTGTTGACTGACACCTCCCAACCATCCTGCTTCTAAGAAGGGAGGCAAAGGCTGCAGGGACCACACTGGCCCTTCTGCACGGCCAGGCTATGACCTCACCCCCCCAGCTATCTGATCTCACCAGCAGTTCAAACAGGCCGATGCATCACAGTGCACCCTGTCAATCCTTCTAAGGACGTCAGACAGAAATACCAGCACTTTTCAGGCATCAGCGCTAGCACAAACAGGCTTCATGCGTGCTTTCTGTTCCACCTGACCAGAGGATCTAGCTCAAATCGCATGGCCCTGCAACGGCCCATTTGGTGTGAAATATTCTTTCAAGGCATGATTCCTTTTTCTTTTTTGAGAAGAAGATACTTTGTTTACTATGACACGTCTTATAGTCCCGTTTTCGTCACGCCAAGCTGATAATCAATTTCCAGTGCAGCTGATACACCTGGAGCCACCTCTCAAAGGACAGACCTTGCCAAGCTGATGGACGGCAGTTACCTATCTACAGCCCTCATATTACACCTCACATTAAACAGCAAAAAGTTACACCTATGTTTAACTTCCGTTTGATGCTAAATAATTAAAATCATTTGAATGAAGCTTTTTTTTTTGAGAAGCATAAAGGAATTTAGCAATTTAAACATATCAAGGGGGGGAGAAAAGAGCTTGAGGAATAAAAGCCTGAGCTTGCACTGGCTTGTTCGGCAGCTCTCTGCTGTTTCCAATATTTCTCTCTCTAAGTTTTTTTCCACGAACACGCAAGGCCTGTGTTTCAAACACCCACCTTACACTGCACGCTGACTTCTTGGTGATTTGAAATATGTGACCCTAAAATGCAGTTGCTATTCCAGACTCCAGCCTTACATCTCCATCAGCCCCCCGTGACACACGGTCCGAACAGGCAGCCCACTCACCCTCGGTCCCCAGAAGAAACGACTGGTGATATAGAAGGCAAAAGGCATGCAGCTCTTTGCAGGGAGAGCAAAGTGAGCCCCTCCTGTCTCTGCAAGCTGTACCAGCAGCTATTAGAGTCCTCATATCAACATTTATTTTATTGCATTGCATTTGAAGCTTTGCAACTTTCCACACAGAAAATCCGTCAGCACTGAGGCTTACAACACCTTCATTTTGGCCACAGTACCACGTGCCTCCCAAGGTACGCTACAGCATCTGGCTAATGTGTCTGTGCCCTGGTGCAGCTTGTGACCAGCGCTGCTGTACCAGCAAAAGCCCACGCTCTACTCCAGACGCGGCTACTGGTATTCCCTATTTTGCCTGGAGAAAAAGAAAGACATCGTTTTACTGAGTAAGCTGTTCTTCTGCAAGCTTTGCTCTGCAAATGTACGTGGTACCTTTATAGGGGAGTGCTTTGCTCAGTACGGCAGTACACCAGTATCTATCCCACGCTGGCAAAGCCAGCTCCACGCAGGCTTAGCCTGGGGAGGACAAGTGTTCAGGTAAAAAAGCAGTAGTTACAGTCAAACCCGAGGCAGACAGCAGCGATGTCAATACGAAGAGGGACACCCAGAACAACTCACCAGGATCACACCACCTACGCTCCTGTGACGGCAGTTTCTCCAGGGAGCCGCGGGCATTTTGCCAGCCTCGCATTTCCCCAGTCCTTTTGTTGTTGCACACGCCAGGGACCGGCAGGAAGAAGAGGTCTCGGCATCTCTCCCTCCAAACCGCCACCAGCCAAGCCAGAGCAGCACGCTGCAAACCCATTTTGACACAGCCCCCGATGCATTTGCAAGCAACAGATCACGCCTGCAGAGACGCTGCTGGCAGAAGGGCCGTGCCAGCCACGCGCTGCCTGCTGAGCCGCCGTGGCGGCTCACGGCCTCGGTCCCCATCACCACAGCCCTCAGCGAAACCACACGCCGGCTGTCAGCCAGACCGCACTTGTAAAGGTGACGCTGTCCTGTACAGCAGAGGGTAGCAGCTTGGAAGAATTTGAACTGAATAAACTGGACCTCATCGCTGAATGACAATCATTTTCTCTATACGTATGTGGGTATGTATATGCTTTTCTTTTAAGGAAGAAAAAGAATTCTTTGAAAATTGCACTAGAAGACTGGAGAAAAATCATGGTTTTCACCTGTGTGTCACTAGAACATTTTATGACTGGTTTTACTGAGTAAATATTGAGAAAACAAGATTTTTTTAATCACTTCTAAAATGGAGGTGGAAGAGATGGATAGAAGATATACTACACTTAATAGAAAAAAATCCCAATAAAGGTCATTAAATTAGTGCATAAACAAGTAAGACTATACGCCACTGTAGTACGACCCTAATGGCCACGCTCAAGCTGAAATCCAGGCTACAACATTGCCCACCTATTCTGTTATTTTACAGTCACTTCCCTGTATCTTCAAATATCCCTCTCCTCCCTGCAGTGCTGGATGATTACACATAATGACTTTAAAAGATCAACTGCAAAAATGAACCCATAAGAAATTACAGGAGGAATAAAGTTACATGCCTACAACCAAGTGCAAAGAACTCTGCTAGCGCCTACCAGGCACTACTGATGGCAGCGTCTGCAGCTCTTGAAACTCGCTTCTGACTCGAGTTAGGTGCTCTTTAAATATCTGTACCATATAATTAGGAAGTACAGCATCATCGAGAGAACATGGATTTTGCATTTCTTGACCTTTTTCCTACTAATTTTCATCAGACTATTTAATGTTAAAATTGCACAGCGTGCAATGCAGCAACTCCAGTTACGAATGCACAAGTAAGACTGGCATATAGGTGGTGGCATTAATTAGCACAAAAGCACTCCCACAGGCAGATTAGATGGTATCTGTATTCACAGTGGATGGCTTTATTCATTAACAAGGTGTTATTTTGGAAAAATATGTCCAAGAAGCCCTTGCATATCTGCTGTAAGAAACATTTCATAGCACAAACGTTTCATTTCTGGTTATCCAGGTTATACCCAATTGCCAAAAAGCCAGCACTTACTGCTCTGCAGGCACTCTGTTCACTGGGATACATTCAGAAAAAAAATTACAAACTCATCTCTTCACTGTGTCAGTCCTGGCTTGCAAAAATGTAGTGCCAGTAATGTTTTATTTATACTTAGAAAGTCGCTTCCATTCTGTGTAATATGTGGACTGTCGCATCCTTTATAAGCCATTTGCAATGGTACCACTGAACTCATGACGTCTGACGCCAACTCATCCCTAATTTCCTTAGCCCGGACAGGCTGACATGTTTGTTAAGATACTGTTATACGGAACTATCTGTCTCAGTTTTAAAAATAACCTGCCTAGGGCAGAGAGCATCTTCTGGGTTGGCTTTGTAAAGCACTTGGTGTATGGGCCCTAATATCAGTTCTATCGGTACAAATTGCTAACACAGAGCATCACCCGCCTCCCACTGCGGCACACTGCACCTGGGCAGCCGGAGGTGGCAATCAAACCCTTGCCCGCAGCGTTCGACTTAGACACAGTGTGGCAGATTAGAAACTTAATCCTAAATTCATTGGACACTCATAAAACTCATTAACTTCAATCCCTGGTTTGTGCGTGTGAGAAACACTGGCGTGAGATCCGAGGTCAGGAGGTGACCAAGCTTTGCTTTCATCTGGCGTGACTTCGTTTTCTCACGCTGGCGAAGCTAACTCACAGAAGATAACTCAGGGCAGAGTCTGTAGGAGATGAGTACTTCCTCAATGAGTTGGAGGGTGTTTAGTTATATCACCATGTTACCAATGTGTCAACAAGAAAAAAAAGGGTTTTCACTGTTCCCTCAAGGTCCTCCTTCAAACAAGCTCAGTGCCTTTTTTAGGTCCAAGTTTCTCTTTGTTTTTTTTCTCCAGGCTCATGTAAAATATTGAGCAACGTTAGCAATCATGGTTAGACATTCCCTCAGACGGCGAAACGTCCATGTCTCAGAAAGCACTCTGGCAGAAAATAGTCACACTACAAAAAGCAGAAGCGTATCAGAGCCAAGCGCTCTTACTCAGCCTTACACAACTCGGAGGGTGTTTTGGGTGGGATGGGGGTTGTAGTTTTCTTGCCCAATGAATTTTCCATGAAGCATCAAACCTCCCCTAGCAGAGCACAAATATGGTGAAAGGAAAGCAAACGCCATAATTCTATTACAAAAATATGGCAATTTCTTTTTTCTTAAACGCAATCCTGACACGAAGCAAAATATCACTGCTTTTTTAGTTATTTGCTTTAGGACTAGTATATGTCAAATATTTCCTTTCCTTGCTGGCGATAACCTCATTTAAACCGTCAACTATTCCACCACATCTGCAGCTTTAATGCAGTAATTTATACACTACAATAAAGCCACGAACACAAAATCACTGTGTCTGTAATGACATCTGTAATTTAGAAACTGCAAGGATGGGAAGCTTGAAACTGGCAGGTGAGTGTTTCTGAAAACACCAAGAGGGGGCTTCGTGTGTGTATACATAATTATGACATTTCTACCCCATAACTGCCCAAATCTTGAATCTTGCCCTGTCTGCAAGGCAAGGCAAAACCACATAATCTTAATGACACAGATATAAAAATATTTCATAAGACTCTATTTGTTCAATGCACTAAAAGCTTTACCATAACTGAGTTGAATCAGGAATTACACGTCAGTGCCCATGTAACTTCAACACTACTCCAGCACCGAGCAAGGGAGCCCCAGGTAAAGCATTTGTCGTGGGACAGTATCTGCATGGTCTAAGCAAACTGATATATTATGAGTCTACTACAAAAATATCTCTAAAAATAACATCACAGGGTTCGTGGCTACTTCCGCCTGCCTTCCGGCCTTGCAAAACTTTAGGAGGCTGCTTCAGCACTCACATCTAAGCCAAATAAGATTTCTGGATGTGCAACTTGTCCCACGCAGACAGCCTCATGGTGGAGTATGCACGAGGTCCTGTGTGACTAAAGATGCAAAACTTTAGGAGGCTGCTTCAGCACTCACATCTAAGCCAAATAAGATTTCTGGATGTGCAACTTGTCCCACGCAGACAGCCTCATGGTGGAGTATGCACGAGGTCCTGTGTGACTAAAGACCTCCAGCCACACAACTGCCCCGGCAGTAAAGCTATACATTCCTCAGCTGCATTTCTACAACCTCCGGCACCTTCAACCGAAGCGTGACTGAGTGGAATTTTGTTAAACAACTCTTTTTATGATGTAAAGGAGCAATTACATTTTATAGCTCGTTTTCTTGAGTTGCAGCATCTCTAATGCTGCAAGTTTGCTCTGTCATCTAAACGAGCAGGTCGTACTTCAAACAGCCCCAAAAAAGCAGAGACACTGAGTGACGGCAGAAGTTCCTAATTGCACAACCAGCTAATGCTCGGGGTGAAGTATCACATTTATTGGCGTAGCGCTGACCTGAAAACAAAGGCCATGTATTCTTTGCAGGATACCATCTGCCCATCTTCAGACCCAAATGCCCTGTTGGCACAAGCACAATCCATCACCCGGCTCTGAAATCCATCGGTGCTTCAGCTGCATGAGCACTAAGCAAAACACCCAACCTTCCACCTATTAGACCCCCATTTGCTTTCTTTCCTTTGTTTTACATTACCAAGGAGCAAAAGTTCCTGTTTATCAAGAAAGGAAGGACCAAGCAATAGAAATGCTTATTCACATCTGCTGAAACTGTTGATTTTATGCTTGTTAAGAGTAAATCATCAAAACTGAAACATCCTAGTGAGCAGAGTAATGACTAGATAAAAGAAGGTTGTTCTTTCACTTGTACACTCACTGAAATACCATGGGTCCTGTTCCATATTGCTACCATGTAGGTAACAGGGCAGAAAAGGGGGTGCTTAAACTTAAGCCTTTTACGCTCAGAATTTTACCTAAAAAAAATGTAATTATTTACATTTCATGTTCTCCCATGTTTTGGTAAAACACAGTTGCAATTGCCTCCCTCAACAACAGAATAATTAAGACTTCCAGCTTACAAGTCATGGGGGAAAATATTTCTCTTACTTCTGAAGTCTGCCTACACCTAGGCACTCAAGTGTTTGAGTAACTCGCTTTAGACAGAATGATCGTATGGATATGAACATTTGGAGCACACCTGAAGACAAAATGGATACGAAGCAGCCCAACTCAAAATACCATTCTTTAAAATATATTTAAAGGGGTATACTTATGATGCTGGCATTTCCAGTGGTTCTGAAGGCAGAGGATGCAAAATGGATTGCTTTTAGGGATTAAATCCCTAGATCTGTATTTGGACACCTAACTCAAGGAGGTAGTGCAGAGGGTCTGAAGGCTCCTTTTTAGGCCACATCTTGTATCATTTTAATCTTAGCCTAAAAATAAATATCAAATGAATTAATAATTTTGTAGTCTTGGTGCTCGCAAACTTAGCACGCAGCGGTGTCATCGTCTGCACAATCCTCTTCCCAGGGCGGTCAACCAGCCCAGGGAAGGAGCAGGATCAGGGGAAAAGCCCTGGCCCAATCCCTTCCTTCAGGCAGGTGCAGACCACAAAGCAGCTCCAGCAACACAAAAACACAAGGAAGACACTCCGGTGGAATCCGTTTTCCCTCTGCAGAGCACAGCAACTTTCCTAAACAGCCTAGAGACAGGCCAGAAGCGCAGCCAACAGACCAACGTTGCAGACCGAGCTGAACCCCTTGCTGCAGGAAGAGTTTACCAGTCTCTGCGTACAACAACCTGCTTTAGACATTCGTGGATCCCATCTCTGGGTAAAGAAAGAATTTTATCTTCCATCAGCTCTAATATGCATTGCCAAAAAAGGCACAAAAAGCATATGCAATGCTCTTAACAACTGACAAATAGTTTCTTATATTATCTGTGAACTTATCTCTCCAAAAAGAACTGTGAAATCTTTGTGAACA